AAACCCTATTACTTGATCTCTGTCTTCCAGAAATTTGTTGAAATACCATCCACTAATAACCCCATTCCACCATAACTTCCTCATTGGCTTGGATGTATTCCTTTTAAAAAATATTTGGGGTGGGGGAGGTAATTAGGGGTGCTTTTTATTTATTCACTCATTCATTTATTTAATGGAGGTCCTGGGGATTGAGTGGATGTATTCCCTTTTACATTTTTTTCTCTTTAATTATAGTAATTGGGTCTTAGATAAAGGGAGACCCAGAAGCATGTTTACTTCTGGGGTCAGAGAAATTAGTTTCACTCTTATGTTTACCAATTATAATGTAAATTTGATCTGAAGACTTTTTCTCCAAACAGATTGTTTTGATGTACACTAGAGGATCCATGTATAACTGAGAGATCAATTACATCAAGAGCTTCACTCTGTGACAGACTATACCCAATTAATGGCATCAACTCTAGATTTTTTATTTATAAGGCAAATTCTAGGACCAGAAGAAAGCGGTTTATATTGGATATGCTGAGGTCAGCCTCTGAGTCAACATTTGCAGAAAAAGCTGGAGAAGGCCGATTCTTAGAGCTGGTAAGCTCAATTCTCTCAGCAGACAGGAACCACGTGCCTCTTACAGTCTCAGCTTCACTTTCAGTCCCTAGGACCAACTCAACGTGAAACAGGAGGAACTGAACTACTCCACATTCCAATTCCACAGTTTCTCCCGGTCCAGCTCTGGACTGCTGTTTGATCCAGGCCCTCTACATGGCCTCTGCAATTATCCCTCTCCATGAATCCTTCCTGCTTAGTTGCTAATTCTCTCTGGATCAGAGAGAGGTGTGGCTCGGCTCCACCTGACACCCCCTTCTCATGAGCTGGACATGTGAGCATCTGCTGAGCCATTCTGCCGGATGCTACCTGCCTGCCCTTGAATCAGGTGCCTTGGATGCCACACTCTGCTCCTACTGTTGGCAAAGAGCTCCTCCCCTTTCAGTCTCCACATTACCATCCACAGTGATCTGTGGTTGTGTTCTTTACACATCGTACTTGCTCACAAGCCTGAATTCCTTTGTCAGCATCTCCTAATGGTTACTTTCTAGGACTTATCTAGACCCATAAGCATAATGCAAGTCAAATTATACAAAATTTTGAGATGACAGATTTTGAGGACTGCAAGTTATCTGAATCAATACCAAAGCCCCATTTCTAACAGTCTTTACTGTCTTCCCCAGTTCTAATCTCCCATCATTTTACTGCTGCTGTGTTCTCAGTGAGGGACAATGATAGGACGTAAGAGTGTGGGTTTGGACAGAATCAGGACTCAAATAACTATACATTTTTAAACTATGGCAGGTTATTTGTTTCCCTACCCAAGAAGGGAGAAAATATTACTACTTCAGATGGTTTCTGAGAATTTATGGAAAGTATACACTGTTAGCACCTAGGATAATCCAGACACTCAATTCGGTGCTCCCTAGTGCCCATCTCTTTTGGCTCCTGTACACTTACACTGATCCTACCCAACTCACTGAATCTGCCTGAAAGAATCTGAGTGTGTGGCCTGATCACTAAGCTTGGTATCCTTGATTCTGGAGTTTGTTTCCATCTTAAAAGAAGTATCTAATACCTATATAATTACCTCTTAATACCGTGCCATTTTAATAACTGTAAATTGAGCAATATTTACATCATAATTTAATTTGCAAAGTCTAAGTTCATCATTTTAGGAAAAGACAATTTCTGATTAGTTTCAATAAACAATTGCATATTAACCTATGCAAATACACTGCTGACACTATTTGGGGCTGAGAAACAATAGTAGAGATTTAGAAAACTTTTCACTTAAAATTTGAAAATTTCCTGTATAATGAAAATAACTGTATTTATTTAGAGTCTGACTCCTACCACAGCTTGTCCTGAATAGTTACATGAAGAAGTTTCCAATATTAGAGTGGTAAAGGATACTGTGACTGTTTTTCAGTTAAATTATGTCAGTGCGGAGTAAGTCTTGTCCTATACAAAAAAATAAAGAAAGAACAACTTGCATATAAGTTTTAGTGTAAGTACTTCTTATCCCAGTGGCTGCCACGCATGTAGCTGGTCAGTCTTCCGGGAGGAGGTGAGACTCCAGTCACTAGAGGTTTTAAAAGCTTCCAGCTGATCCTAACATGTACCCATGTTGAAAGACTACTCTGATGTAAATCAGAGAATGCCAACACTTGCATCACGTTTGGAAAGAGCAAGTCTGAACTTCAACCCGAAATACAATACAAGCGAAACATGGTGAACGTTAAAGCAACATTACTCAGAGTTAAGATTTACCAAACTTGCCTCGTTACATGAACCACCTGGGCCAGGGTTTGAAAATGTCAATTCGGGGGTCCTTCCCTGATTCACGTCAGATTTCGGAGGCCCGGGACAGACAAGAACCAGGAATCTGCATTCTAACACATACCCCAGCTGATTCATATGATCATATATGTGTCGCAAATATGAGGTACAGAATGCCGAAGAAACAGTAACTTCAAGGAAGTCTCAAGTACAGTGTTACGGTCACAGGCACTTGTCATATTTCTCGTGTGTACAGAACAGTGGAAGTCTCGATATTGTCTTGGAGCATAGAAAAAACGTGTAGTGAGATTCTAGAAAAATTCTTACAGGCACAGACTTTTAGATAACAAGATCATGAAACATTTCTCACCAGGTGGGCAGAGAGCAGGCAAAGGAAGGTGCACTACGTTTACTGCAGAGAACAATGGATCTCAGCTCTCCATCCTGAGTATGGAGAGTCACTAGGGTGAACCTCTCCTCACCCTCTAGTTGCTTTATGCTAAACACTGTTTCATCACTTTGTGTTTAGTACTGGGGTGAGTAAGCACCTAAGTATGGGCACAGTGAACTTCTATTTAACTATTGGCACAGTGAACCACTTTCTTCTGGACATGGATGAGAGATGCAAAAACATACTGACCCCCTGCACTGGGTCAGCAAACTGTAAGCCATTGCTTGTTTTTGTAAAGAAAATTTTACTGGAACACAGAACACCCATTTGTTTATGTAATATTTATGGCTGCTTTGGCACTGCAATGTCAGAGCTGTGTAGCTGCAACGGAGGCCATCTGGCCTACAAATCTCAAAGTACTTGCTATGTAGCCCTTCACAGAAACATTTTGCTGGCTCACCGGGAAAGTGCCTGGATTGTGTCACCTCAGCACAAAGCACAGCATGGGACAGTGAGAGGCCGAGCCCTGAACAATGCAGGCATCTGCGGCTATTTCTACTCCTGGGCTTCTCAGTTTGAGACTATAAATTATATTTTTTGTTTTGTTTCTGTTTTGCTTTACTTTGCTTCTACTTAAGCCACTGGACTTAGGCCTTCCTTTACATACAATAAAAACAGTCCTAATTGACAACAGTTACGACAATTAAAAAGACAAGAAGAGTAGAAAACATAACAGAGCTAAAATCTGTGTAGAAGTATTTAAATATCTAGCCAACTTTGAGTGACGTTGAGAAACTAAATGATTTTTGCAACAAATAGAAATGCTCCTCCCTAAAAGTGGCAAATGCTCATAGAACCAATTAAAGACAGACTAATAAGATGATGATTCTTATCAAGACCAAGACAGAGGCAACACACTAGCCATTCTGTGATGAGGTCTTCACCAATAGCCTGGAGAGCTGGGTTAAAAGTACATGCATATATCACATATGAGATAAGAGATTTCATATTTTGCATTTTTAAGTTTACATTAGTGGTTAGCTGAAACTGGCACAGCTATACAGTTTAACTCTTTCATTAGTCTAATTCAGAAATGTCTCATGTTGACTTTTAACTCCTTACTTTCTAGAACAGGATCTGGCTTATGGTAGAGTCACAATAAAAGGGGAAAATAAGCCAAACTAGCCAACTCAACAATTTCATCCTAGGATGCAGATCAAGGTAGTATGTATCAAGAACTCAAAGAATTAGTCCTCTCAGAGCACATTCTTGTCTGAGAAAGGCAGCACCAAAACACCTCTACCTTTTTCCAAATGGATCAATCTCACTAAAATATCCTGTCTGTCTTATAAATTCTTAATCATGGTGACCTAAACTGATCACAGCTCTTTACAACCACAGAGTCACTTTGTCCATGAGCCTTGATAATGTTTGTAGTGGACTACTGCTGAATTGTAACCTTACAGAAATGAAACAGGCATGAGACCTGCGAGGTTGAGTTAATTTTCTGTTAGTGAACAGTATCTTCTCTTGGAGGATTCGCCCACCTTGGATTTGTTGAGAGGGGTACGCCATGTTGCGTAAAGCAATAATGTTTCCAATGATCTGGTCAAGAATATAATTGTAAGGCCTGTCTAAGCAGAGGAAGAATTTTCTGTGTTCCAGGTTTCACTTGTAAAAATTGTTTCTATGAGTCTAGTGCTTAATCTCTTTATTTCCATTAGGATAAAACTTGCTTTAAATAAGCCCTTTTCAAGTCCTTTATTGAGAACAAAATGCTTTGTTCAGATTTGCCCTAACAGTCTGAGATTCTTCATTTTACTGGTAACAAAGGGTGACACAGTACCACTCTGCTTAACATAAATTTCACTTGAAGACTGGAGAATACGATTGCTAGTTAATCTTCCAAAATTCCAAATAAGACTTGAATTAATTAACTGAAGCACCTACATTTTATTGAAGTTCTTATTAAGCGACTTCTTCATAAACTCACCATGCTTACAAGGCTAACACCTTGCTCTCTACTGAAAGCAATCAAACATAAATCCTTAAGCAAGGACATGATGTCTGTATTAGTTATCTACAGCTGTACAACATATTACTTCAAAATTCAGTGACCTAAAACCACAGTATTCATTATGTCACAGCATGTCAGGAACCTAAGCACAGCTTAGCTAGGTCCTCTGGCTTTGATCCCTCACAAGGCTGCCATCAAGTTGCTGACCAAGAGCTGCTGTCATTTTAAGGCTGCACTGACAGAAGATCTATTTCCATGCTTGCTCACCTGGTTGTTCCAAGATTCCATTCCTCATGAGCTAGCTGTTGGACTGAGGTGCTCAGTCTCTCACCAGCTATTAACCAGAGGCCTCCCACCTCAGTTCCTTGCCATGTAGGTCTCCTCAGAGGGCAGCTTACAACATGGAAACTCTGATTTCATCAGAGTGAGCAAGTGAACAGGCAAGAGACAGAAAGCGGTAGCAAGGTGGACGTCACGGTCTTTCACAACCTAATCTCAGAAGTGACATTCCATCACTTTTCCAATATTCTATTTATTAGAAGCAAGTCACCAAGTCCAGCCTACACTTAGGCTGAGAGGATTACACAGGGTGTGAGTATCAGTAAGCAGGGATCACTGAGAGCTATCTTAGAAGTCTGATGACCACAATGTTTTTATGACTGAAGCTGCCAAAGGGAAGTGGAATCTTAAGGGAGAAAAGGTTGAGTTGTAGGGGCTTATTTGCTAGACTGACAGGAGTTGTCAAATGTCATAAGCAGGCTTGTCCCATGCTTATCAGGGGCAGCTACTCCAAACTTACTCTTCATAGATCTCTCCAGTCCACCACCTCCACCTTCATATTCAGTTCCTTACTCACAATGACAATGTTCCTTATAGAGGCACTGGTCCTTATTCAATCAAGTGAGATTTTCCAAACTGTAGACTGTCCAAAGAAAAACATATGACACTATTTTTGCTTATTCTTTCCTTTCTATTCTGACTTCAAAGAAAGAGTTATTTCTGTCTGAGGGTAATTCCTTGCTGATACATTCTTCCTTTCTAACCAAGGTCTTTACTTCCCAATTCTTCCTTCTCCCATATCCTCAACACAAGGCCCTCTGATGGCTTCACTCATGGCATGACAAGTGCCCAAGTTTTCCCACATGCTCTCCTTGTCCCATTTAGATAATACCACACTGCTCTTCAGTTAGCTACTTACCTCCCTCTCTTACCCCAGTGCACTTGAATGTGGCTAGTCCAAGACACTAGTCCAATTCTTGTCAATGTGGTCTACTTGCAGCTAAATTCGATTGCCTCTTTTCAGGCCTTAACTTATTCAACTTTCTGTATCATTTAGTATTTTTGCTTGTCCCCACCTTCTAGAAATACTCTTCTCTGTGGTCCGTAATTCCACCCTCTTATTTCCACCCTACCTGTCTGTCTACTCTTTGTCAATCCTATTCCCAGAGGAACTAGTCTGAACCTAGCCTTTTAGTGCTTATTTTTTAATTCTAGGTCAGGCATTCTTCTCTTTTTATTCTGTAAGTGCTCTTAAGAAGACTTTAGCTACTTCTTGATTTTAATGACCACCTTTATGTAAATAACTCCTAAAGTTTTATCTTCACAATCTCCCTTTCCTAAGCCTCATGTTCTTATTTAACTATGTAAGAAAAATCCATTTGGTAATTTAAGTTCAGTTCCAAACTGAACTCCCAACCCTCCTTAACAGCTCCTAAGCGGTTCTTCCTCTTTATGAGTAGAACTCTCTCCCTTCTGCTGGCCAAGTCAGAATCTTGGATCAATCTCTATACATGGATTCCTCCAGCCAATCAACCATTAAGTTTTAATCAAGAGGAAGAAAAGATGAGGTGTTAGAATAATCCTTACCCAGTACTTCACAGCCCACAAGTTCCACATTTAACCTCCAAATTGAATGAAAAGGAAATATATAAAGAAGCAAACTTAAAAAAAAATATCTAGAGGGTCTATGTGGTAGGCAGAATAATGGCCCCTGCAAAGATGTGCATGTCTTAATTTTCAGAACTTATGAATATGTTAATGTTACATGGCATGGGAGAAATATGATTGCAGATGCTACTGAGGTTGCTACTGAGATCATCTTAAAATAGGGAGATTTATCTTGGATTATCTAGGTAGCCCCAATGTAATTACAAGGATTCTTAAAAATAGGAGTGGGAGGAAGAAGAAAAGTCAGTGTCAGAGTGCTGCCATAAAAGAAAGACTAAACCAGCTACTGCTGACCTTGAAGATGGAAGGGAGCTGTGAGGCAAGGAATGAGGATGATCGCAGAAGTTGGGCCAGGCAAGAAATGAATTCTTCTCGAGAGTCTCTAGAAAAGAACACAGCCCTCCAACACCTGGATTTTAGCCCAGATACTATTCAGATTTCTGATGCCTAGAACTATAAAATAATACATGTGCTTTGTTTACAGTAATCTGTTATGCTGGCTAAAGGAAACTAACACAGCCTATCTTCTTTAAGTAATTTTTTAAAAATTCTTTATGTTTGACTAAAGCAGAGATCAGCTGTTACTAAAATCAAGAGATGACAGTGGGGATATCACTACCAATTCTGCAGAAATAAAAACACTGTGAGAACATACTATGAATAATTCTAATCCAACAAAATGAATAACCTAAATGAGACTTAAAAACTCCCAGAAACACAAAACAAAGCATGCCAAGACTAATCTGAACAGATTCATAACTAATAAGCAGATTGAATGAGGAGTGATCAAAAATCTCCCAACAAACAAAAGCCCCAGACCAGATGGCTTCACTGGTGAATCTGATCAAACATTTAAAGAAGAACACCATACCTTTTAAAACTTTTCCCAAAAAACTGGAGAGTAAACACTTCCTAACTCATTACATGAGGTTATACTACTTCGATACCAAAGCCAGGCAAAGATACTAAGAAAGGAAAACCATCGGCCACCATGCCTTATGAGCACTTGATGCAAGAATCCCCAGCAAATACAGGCATACTTCATTCTATTGTGCTTCACTTTACTGCACTTCACAGATGTTGTGTTTTTACAAAGAGAAGGGTTGTGGCAACCCTGCACGGAATAATTCTATCAACACCATTTTTTATAACAGCATTTGCTCACTTTGTTTCTGTGTCACATTTTGGTAATTTTCACAATATTTCAACCTTTTTCATTATTGTTATATTTGTTCTGGTATCTGTGATCAGGGATCTTTACTATTGCAAAAGGATTACAACTCACTTGAAGGCTCAGATGATGGTTAGCATTTTATTGTAAGAAACTATTTTTAATTAAAGTATGTACTTTATAGACATAATGCTGGTGCACACTTAATAGACAACAGTTCAGTGTAAATATAACTTTTATATGTACTGGGAAACCAAAACTTTCACATGACCCACGTTATTACAATATTTGCTTCATTGCAGTGGCCTGGAACAGAACCTGCAGTATTTCCAAGATATGCCTGTACTCACAACCAGATTCAGCAGCATGTGAAAAGAACCATGTGAAATTTACCTCAAACCTGTCCTCTCTTATCACTCTTATTTAACATTGTACTGCATGTCCTAGCTCATAACAAAGACAAAAAAAGGAAATAAGAGGTACACAGATAGCAAAGGAAGGAAGAAATAAAACTGTCTTTGTTTGTAGATGACATTAGTGTCTATGTAGAAAACGCCCCCAAACTGGCCCCCAAACCCTCCTGAAACCAACAAGCAAGGATAAGTCAATTATTTTTGTGTTATTATATATATCGGCAATGATAAACTAGAATTTGAAAAATTCTTAAAAACTTATCATCTACAATAGCAACCAAAAAAGAAATATTCAAGTATAAATCAAACAGATATGTACAGGATCTCTATGCATGAAAATAACAAAACTCTAATAGAAGAAATAAAAAATCTAAGTATCACAATACAGGCTGCCTTGGAACCAGGGTCAAGGAATCACGCTGACTAAAAGAGACAGACCTCAGTAGGATCCTGACCATTTCTCAGAGGATCTCAAGGATGCCTGATCTTTCTCTTTATTCCTCTACTGCTTCTTTCAGTCACCAACTTTCTCACAACTTTCTGCAGTTAATATCTTTTCATACTTCTAATAAAACATAATCTGAAATGACTGTTAACTTCAATTTGTGTGTTATCAATATGCGTATCAATATAATGTGTGTGTAAACATTTGTTTTTGTTTGGAGAGAATGCTACACTTACTATAACAGATTTTTTCCTTTTTAGCATCAAACCCACATTGTGCTAATTTTCTTGTTTTTGAATCTACATACCCAGTAACTATCAATGTCATATAAATAATTAAATTATGTAACTCTGCTTCTGTTTTACCTATTTTATCAATGATATTTAACCATAATCAATGCCCTTCAAATATACCATGAGATA